CTGCCAACCTGGGTTCTCTAGGCCTCGACCCATGACCAAGGCCCGCGTTCTGAAGCCAAGTGTTGACTCTGAGAGAGGGATGTGCTGGTCAGAGGGAGACTTTGACTTGGGTCTGTCTCCTGCTGTCTGGAGTTGCTAGGAGACACTGAAGTGAAAGGAAATGCCCTACTGCTAACTTGTTTACACACGGCCGGCTTCGAGTGAGACCTGCTCTTAGGAGTGATGTCCTTACCTCCCTACCAAATTAATCTTCCTTGCTTGCTCCCTCCCCTCCTGCTCCCCCTCTCTTTTTCTTTCTTTCTTCCTTCTCCTTTTCTCTTTTGACGCAGAGCCTAAGGTAGCCCAGGTTGCCCTCAGACCCACTGGGTAACCTGGGCTATTCTTGCACCCCTGATCCTCCTGCAGTCATCCCCCAAAGTGTTGTAATAATAAGCCCCACACTGAAGGCTGTGGTGATGAGGCAGAGACCTGGTTTGGGCCCCAACCATCTGGAGACCTGTGTCTTGAATGTTCTCTTCTCCCATATCTTCATGCGCCACACAGAGTTTAAACCTTCCGATCCCTTATTCCTAACTATGCCCCCTTTGCTGTCTCATCTCGGAAGTATTTCCTATCATAGGACATCCGTAACTGCCTGCAAAATAATTAATCCTCCCCTAGAAGGAGCAACCTTTGAACAACTCCCCTGCTGACCTCCTCGTTGCCCCAGGCCTCACAGAAAACATCTACAAACAAGTCCAGGCTCTTGCCCGGCTGTGGGATGCAGACAGGTTGTCCTCATTTTCAAGAATAAGGCTTGGAATAAAACATGTTTGTGTGACCTGGGAATTGAAAACGAACTTAAACTGATGGAGGGAGGAAACTCCAAAGGCCCCATCCAATCATCTGCCTCCTGCCCACATCAGCCCCATCCAATCTACCCCGACCCCTGTCAACTAACCGGTTCCCCTCTGTCCACCCAATCTGCAAGGAATAACTGGGCGATCACAAAGTGACCCTGAAGTGGGGATATCTGTAAGAATTATGTTCCAGATTGATTTCCTCTTCAGGTCTGCATGCAGAAACTAAACAAACAATAGTAAATAGAACGGCAAAGCAGGTAATTAAACTCGAAAGGACAAGCGAGTAACACAAATGTTAGCGTGGCAATTGTAGCTAGAAATTCTTTTCCTTCTTAAAAGGAAGTCAATATTGGTAATGAAGATGAAATGATCTGATTGGGTGAAGTGTTTGGTCTGGATGTTTCCCACTTTCCGTGGCCTCTGACCACGTGGGTATCAGGTCATCAAATCCACCGCCATAATTATGCCAGAACCAGAGCCAGTTAGCTGGAAATCGACATGCTTAGAAATGAAATTAACTCAGAAGGTGCTGGAACATATTGCTTAAAACGATGCAGTTCTCAGCTTAATTCATGCTCAGGAACTTCTCCGTGAACAGCTCTGACTTGGGACAGCTATTGTGTCCTCCGGCTGATGCACTGTTCTCTATTTCCTGGGCTTTTCCTGCCGGGCTTCACACACTGTACAAGGCAGGTGTGACAGCTTTGTTTATTCTCGTGGCAGCACAGACTAGAGCTCAGCAAAGTCAAGTTCTTTTGCTTTCTTCTCCCCTCCACTCCTCAAGGTTACTCTAAAAAGCAGGATTAAAATCAGCCTTGGCTGCCTCCCAGCTTCACGCCCCACACCGGCTTAGGCCAGGTCCTAGGGCAGGTTTCGTTCGCTTGTTTCAACCATGCAATTCTGAGTCAGGTAAATGAGCTTTAGCCAAATGATAAATTTCATTCCAGGATAATTTTATTTATAGTAATTGTTTTGCTGCTTTTCATGCGATACTTTGTGTTCTCAACAGGGAAAGAAGTCTGTTTAAACTTCGCTGTCTGGTGACGCGGTCCTTGTTCTTTGCATCTAATGACCTCGGACAGTACCTGCAGTTCCTGAGTGATTGACAGAATGCACAACACTGCCTTTGGTTGCTTGTCTTTTAGTCAGCTTGCTTACTAGAATCCTAGATTTGGAGGGACTTTATGGGATCAGTTAGCTGCAATTCATACCCAATGCAATCATCTCTACCGCAGTGTTCTGGGCAGTGACCGTCACCCCCTGTTCCCAACATCTCGATGACTAGGCACTCACAGCTGAACAGGGAGTTAAATTGATTTTTATTTTATTTTATTTTTTGAGACAGGGTCTCACTACATAGCCCTGACTGGTCTGCAATTTGCTGTGTAGAGCAGGCTGACCTAGAGCTCACACAGATCCTCCTGCCTCTGCCTCACAAGGTCCGAGATTGCAGGCACACACACTACCACGCCTGGCTTTAACTCCACTTTAAATACCGACTTGCTGGATAGTTTGTCATGCTGCCACAATGCTCTACAATTTTACCCCTCTGTAACTTTTGTTCTTTGGCCCTAACATGTTGCTAGGACAACTGAAATCAAATAATTAGAGTTGACCTTTGCTCTGACAAGTGTGTACGGTCTGTGTGGTCTCCTGACAGGGTGACTCTCTTGGTAAGCATGTTTTGTTCCCTTTGTGGTTCCTCTTTCATTACTCATATGAATGCCAATCTTTAATTTGCCAGAGGTAGAAAAATACAACAAAAATAACTCATGTAAAGAAAAAAGTTTCTGTAATTGCAAGACCCAGTGAGAGAGATAATTTAGACAATGTTTGAGATTGGGGCGAGAGAGAGAAGGTAAAGGTATGTGACTCTAACCTAACGGCCTGAGTCACACATGGTAAAAGAAAACCACCCCGAAATCTGTCCTCTGATCTCCGCATGTGGGCTCACGTACATGGGCATGTGTGTATACATGTGAGTGTGTGTGGGTGCGCACAAATAAGTAGGTGAATGAATAAATAAATAAACAAAAATGTTTAACAAAAACCTTGAGATAAGCCCTTGTAATGCAGATTCAGACTCTTGATTCTCCTGTCTCCTCCGTTATGCAGATTCAGACTCTTGATTCTCCTGTCTCCTCCGTTTCCCCAGTGCTGAGATCCCAGGCAAGACCCTCCAGCTCTGGTTAGAGGCAGCTTGGCTCCAATCAGATTCCAGCCTCTGCCTCCTGAGTGCTGTCACCACCACAAGTCTCTAGATGCATTTTTTTTTAAAATTAACTCTGTGGAGAAACATTGTTACCATTGATTTGGTGTGGTAACACTCTAAAAATCTCATCTGGGTGAGGTAGCACAAGCCTTTAGCCCCCAAGATCTCTGAGTTTCAAGGCCAGTCTGGTCTTGAGGGCAAGTTCCAGAACAGCCAGAGCTACACGGAGAAACCCTGCCTTGAAAAATAAAAAAATGACCAACAACAGCAAAAAAGGTCAAAGTTCCATTTTAGACAAAGGGATTATTTTTTCGTTTATCTCCATTTGCAAAAGAAAAAATTCTCAAGACCTCTAAGAAGGTAATTGCATATTAACAGTGTTGACCTGTTTGTGTGTGTTTTCTCATAGTGCTGGACATTGGACCCAGGACCTCACATGTGCTAGGCAAGTACACTACTTAGTACTGAATGACAGCCATGCTCTCTAATGGGTTTTTGTCTTTTTTTTTAAAAAGAGCAGCCAATGCCCCTAACCATTAGGCCATCTCTCCAGCCTCTGCCCAGGCTGGCCCTGAACACAATATGTAACTAAGGAAGACCCTGGAGTTCAGCTCTTCTAAGCTCTGTGTATTTTGCAACTTTGCATTTTGAACTATGCATGGACATGGCTCACCAGCTCGCAAACGTTATACCCACGCCGTTCTCGTTAGTGTATCCATGCGCTGTTGCACACACACACTCTCTCTCTCTCTCTCTACACATATATGTAAAATGTGTGTGTTTTATTATTGTTTCACATGTAAAGTGGCCTGTGAAATATTCTATTTCATTTTACATGTCTCAAATAAATCTCTTCTTAAAATGTAAATAAAAGGCTTTTAAAATAAATTTAATTTTTCCTCAGAAGTGTTTAATTTTAGAATTTTAATCTTTTGCTATTTTAGACTTAGGGGTATTGGACTTTTTTGATTTCAACATTTGGGATTATGATATTTAGGATTTTGTCTTTTGGTTTTCTGGTTTATCTGAGTAGGATAATTCTCTTTTCTTCTTCCTTCCTTTTTTTGTTTCTTTGTTTTTTTCAAAACAGGGTTTGTCTGTAGCTTTGGACCCTGTCCTGGAACTTGCTTTGTAGAGCAGGTGGCCTCAAACTCACAGAGATCCACTTGCCTCTGCTTCCCAAATGCTGGGGTTAAAGGCCTGTGCCACCACCACCTGATTGGCTGGTTTGCTTGCTTCCTTCCCCCCTCCCTTTCTCTTTTTTCCTTTGAGACAGGGTTTCTCTATATTGCCCTGGCTGTCCTGGAATTTACTCTGTAGACCAGGTTAACCTCAAATTTAGAGATCTGCCTGCTTCTGCTTTCAGAGAGTAAAGGGCTGGGCCACTTTAATAAAAGAGCAAGTTCCAGGACAGCCAAGACTACGTAGAGAAACCCTGCCTTAGAAAAAAAAAAAAAAGAAAGAAAGAAATATAGATAAATATAGAAATATTCAGAAGTGGAGACCACCTAGGACTGAGACAGAGGACCCGAGGAAGACACAAACCTGCCATCCCAGTCCCCGAGCCTGGGCTGAAATCTTGAGTGTCGTTGAGCACAACTGTGTTTTATGATTGACAGGGTGGCTGTCACATGGTGCCAGGGCAGCCCCCTGGAACTCACTGGGGAAAAGCTGTTCATGGGGAAGTGTCTTTCTGAAGGTACCAGGGGAGATGCCCGTTTAACTGAACGAAACAGAAAGAGCCAAGAGTCAGAAGAGCCGTGGGTGTTGCAAGAGCTGGACCCTGAAGCACGAGTTCACGTGGAACGTACCAGAACCAGAAAACAGACTCCTTTCTTCCACAGTGTCTCCCCGGCGCCCTCTACTGACAGATGCCGCGTCTGTATCCTCACCGCTGCAGAGAAATGTTAAATTTTTGCTCAGCAAGTGATTAAAGATGAACTTACAGTGGAGACGGTATCTCAGCAGCAGGCACATCTTTGTCTTCCTCTTCTCTGCAGGCCCTGCGCACGCCCTTTCTGCCTCGAAGTATACACGCTCCAGGCCTGAAATGTCCCTTTCAACAACCTAGGGAGAAGGCACTCGGCCCTCCCAATACGGCACTGGATTGTTCCTGTTCCGTTTAATTGACTGATATTCTAAACACATGTCATAGATTTGTTTCTGAGGCAGAGATGTGGCGCGCGGTCATGGGCACTGAGGCCTCCTGGGAGAGGTGAGCTGGGTCAATCTGAACTTTTGAGAGAATGAGGCTCTAAAGAATAGAATCAGGAAAGAAAAGATGCTAAGCAGAGGGAAAGCTGGTGTTGCTGGCGAGTCTGTCTTTGCCGCTGCGGCGGTGCCTTCTGTTCCATGATTTTTCCTTTTGGTGCTGGGGTGGGAGCCCAGGGTCTCCTGCTAGGCAAGCACTGAGCTGTGTCCCCTAACCTTCTGGTTACTTCTGACTATCCTGCCCGATCTCCGGACAGTGTGAAGTGTACCCGTGTCATTCTGGGTCTTTGCTTTACACCCCCTTTCTTCCCCTCCCCCTTTGTATGAGGCAGAGTTTCTCCATCCAGTCTTGGCTGTCTTTGAACTCACTCTGCAGACCCCAGACTCAGAGATCGACGTGCCTCTGGAGTGTTGGGATTAAAGGTGTGCACCCCCAGACCCCGGCATTTCCCCACCCTTCCTTGAGTTTTCCACACTGCAGCCCAGACTGTCCCAGAGGTTTCTGTATTGTCTAGTCTCAACAACCCTGCCTCAGCCTCCACACTCTTAGTATTCCAGGGTGAGCCACACTGCCAGCTACCTCCTCTTTGTCAATTCCTCTTCCCCTTTCTCCCTCTGCTTATTTATTTTTCATGTTTTTCACTGTGTAACAGGCTGGCCTAGAACTCACTCTGTACCCTCGGCCATCCTTTTGCTTCCATCTCCCGAGTGCTGGGATTAGATATATAAACCACTATGCCCAACTCCTCATCATTTGGAAGTTATTTAATCTAATTCCCCCGGGAAGGGTAATTCAGTGTCCTACCATAATCACCCACTTCTGGAAAGGAATGCTTATACCATCTCTCTGGTGCTCTACCTGGAAAACTGGCTAGCCTGACTTGACTAAGCAGAGGCGAGACCAGCAAGGCTGAGGTTCTACAGGTGTGAGCATGGAGCTAAAACCAGCAACCCTTCCAGAGCAGACCCTGAAGGTGGGACTGTTGTTACTGTAGGTCACCTGAGCAATTATCACGGGGTGGGGAAAGAGCAGCAGCGGGAACAGGCAGAGGCAAGCTGGAGAGCTGCTGAAAGGCGCGCTGGGCAGCTCTGGGCAATTTCGTGCAAGGTCAGAGACAGGCATCTGGGTGCAGGGTCAGACAGAGACAGGCATCTGGGTGCTGGGTCCGAGACAGGCATCTGGGTGCAGGGTCAGACAGAGACAGGCATCTGGGTGCAGGGTCAGACAGAGACAGGCATCTGGGTGCAGGGTCAGAGACAGGCAGCCGCTCCAGAAGCACAGGATGAGTGACCTTTCCCTGCATCAGTGGGAGCTCTCCAAAGCTATGCTAATTTACACTCCTTTATGTGTGTGTGCTCTTGTGAGCGATTTTATGCGTGTGCGCTCCGTGTGAGTGGTTTTTTGTGTGTGTGCTCCGTGTGAACGATTTTCTGTTTGTGCTCCGTGTGAGCGATTTTCTGTGTGTGCTCCGTGTGAGTGGTTTTCTGTGTGTGTACTCCGTGTGAGTGGTTTTCTGCATGTGTGCTCTGTGTGAGCGATTTTATGCATGTGCACTCCGTGTGAGTGGTTTTTTGTGTGTGTACTCCGTGTGAGCGGTTTTCTGTGTGTGCTCCGTGTGAGCGGTTTTCTGTGTGTGCTCCGTGTGAGTGGTTTTCTGCATGTGTACTCCGTGTGAGCGGTTTTCTGTGTGTGCTCCGTGTGAGCGGTTTTCTGTGTGTGCTCCGTGTGAGCGACTTTCTGTGTGTGTGCTTCATGTGGGCGGTTTTCTGTGTGTGTGCTCCGTGTGAGCGTCTTTATGTGCTCTTCCTGCTAATAAAATTTCTCCAGGAACCAACACAGTCCATTCTTTTATATAATATTTTATTACTTTTTGAGACTTTATACATGTATATAATATACGCACCCTGTTCTTCTCCCAACTTTTCTGTATCCACAGATTCACCCCCAAGTCCCCAATTCCCCCCCTCACAACATCATTTTTTTTTTTTTTTTTTGAGAGCTCCAGTTCTGGCTGCTCTGGAACTTTCTTTGTAAATTTGGCTGACCTTGAACTTGTAGGTGTCTGTCTGTCTCAGCCTTTAGAATGGAAGAATTAAAAGCATGAGCCACAATGCCCAGTCTCTTGCTTTAAATAACCCATCCAGTTCAATTTGTACTGCCCATATATACATGGGTGTAGGGCCATCCCCTGGGGCTTGGCTGACCAACCAGGAGCATCTTTCTAACAGCCAACATCAACTGTCAGCAAGTCTGCAGCTAAGAGTGGGGGTTGCTGAACTCCTCTGCCTGCAGGACTTGTGTTGGAATGTGGACCGACTTGATCTTGTGCGTAGCTGTTTATCCTTGTCTTCTTCCAATTGGCTCCTTCTCCCCTCGGGTGTGCTGTGGCAGGCGCTATGGAAACGTGCCCTGTAAGGTATCATACAGATGTGTGTTGCACCTTGCCCGCTGCAGAGGCTGCCGTCATGACCAAAGTCATCACCAGATTGTCTTGTCCAGCTGTTCACCTAACAACACTAACCAAAAGAGCCCTGGTATACAGGCTCTATATAAATCTAACTGGATACATTGAGAAAGAGGAAGCCGGAGTACAAAAGGAGGAACACACTATTTATCAGTTACCCGCCATGTCCGTCAGCATAAAAACCCTGTGCAGGATGCTTCGGTGTTGCTGTCTAAGCCTCCAGCTGTGACTTGGCTTTTTCCTCTGCTGTCTGGTGGGATTTCTGCTTTGGTCTCTGATGCTGCTGGTTCCACTCCCTTCCTTGAAAACTTCTGTCTTAGTTACAGTTTCTGTTGCTGCAACAAAACACCATGACCAAAAAGCAAGTTGGGGAGGAAAGGGTTTATTTGGCCTACACTTCAGCATTGCTGTTCATCACTGTAGGAAGTCAGGACAGAGATTCAAACAGGGCAGGATCCTGGAGGCAGGAGCTGATGCAGAGGCCATGGAGGGGAGCTGCTTACTGGCTTGCTCCCCAAGGCTTGCTCAGCCTGTTTTCTTATAGAACCCAGGACCAGTACCCCTCATCACGGGCTGAACCCTCCCCCACTGGTCACTAATTGAGAAGATGCCTTACAGCTGTGTCTCATGGAGGCCTCTCCTCAGCTGAGGCCCCATCCTCTGAAGACTTCATAGCTTGTGTCAAGTTGACACACAAAATCACCCAGTATTCATTCATCATTCACTGATTCCTCCGAGAGCACAACCTGCGTTCTCCGCTACGGCGGTTCCCAGGGTAATTACCTCCAAAGGCTTCTCTCTGCATCCTGATCCCTGGCCCTGTCATGTTACAGTAAAGGCGGCTTTGCGCTGTGGTTTGGTTAAGGATTCTGAGGTGGAAGATGGTCCAGGGTTACCTGGCTGATGTGGTCATGGTGGTGTTTCTAGGGGGAAGTAGTCGAGTCAGAATCAGAGAAGGGAGATGAGTGATGGGAAGAGACTGGAGGGATATAGGGTCGTGAGCTAGGGATGCCAGTAGCTTATAGAAACAGGAAGCACGAGGAAGTGAAGGGTTGTCTCTTGAGCCGGAGAAGGATGCTGGAACGTGTCTGAGCAACACTGCGGTTCACGTTGGATACCAGTGTCATAGAATACAGCCTGAGAATCATCAAACATTAGATTCACATGTATGAACCCCAGTGTCTATTAGGTGTCCTCACAGACAAAGGCTTCTGCTTTTGTATCTATTTTAGTAGACTCAATAGAGTCTGACAGAGACACTATCATTCAATATTGTTCAAATCTCGACCCCCTAATCCCGGCGAGCATGATCTTATTTGGAAAATGTTCTTTGCAGATGCAATGACATTGTGGATCTCAAAGTGAGGTCCTCCTGGATTTCTGGGCATCTCCAGTGACAGGGTCCTTAGGGGCCAGGCAGAGAGATTTTTCGGTAGGGAAGTATCTGTGAAGATGAGGGCAGAGAGTGGGTGAGGCTGCCACAACCAAGGACCTCTGGAGCCTCCAGCAGCAGAAGAGGCAGGGAGGGCACTGGAGCCTTAGAGGAGCACAGGCTTTCCAGCCTCCAGAGCTGAGAGAGAAAATCACGGTTGGCGAGACTCACGGCTTTCAGGCATCTGTCTGGGAGCTACAGTCACTGGCATAATCACTTTCTTCCTGTTTCTTTATTAGACCATTGTCATCAAGACCCTGTTAGCTGACTATGCTGAAAACAGAAGTCCCCTGGCCGGGTTCTCTCCCATGCCTCTAACATGGTAGCCTGTGGTTCCAGACTCCCCTCTTCTGGGCTCTGATAGTCCACCAGTGTACATTTCTTTGCGTGCTTAGCATTCAGCACAGCTAGAACAGATGGCCTAAAGATGAAAAGGGTGTAGCAGCCAGGTTGGAATGGTTGTCAACAACAGCCCACGTGAACAGTGGCCACAGTGACATAGCAAAGTCCGAGAGGTCCTCAACTGGGCCAGACATTGACGGTTTATGGCTGGTGTGTGTGTGTGTGTGTGTGTGTATGGGGGAGGAAGGAGAGGGAAGAAAGGAAAAAGGAGGGAGGGAGGGAAGGAGAAGGGGGTAGGGGAGGTCAGAGCGTATCTTTCAGGGGTCAGGGGTCAGGTTTCTCCTTCCATTGCTGGTTCTGGGAACTGAACTCAAGTTGGCCAGTGTGCAAAGCACACTCTTTAACCCTTTGAGCTATCTTCTAGCCCCTGATGCCAGTTCTTACCATGTGCTGGTCTCTGCTCAGTCCATTCTTTCTGAAACTTTGTCACAAGTTTCTGGATGAGCCGACAGAGGCTGAGATTCATTTATATGCTGGAGGTCACACAGCAGCAGGGAATGCGAGTGGGGAAGGAAGTCCGATGTCTTCACAGACATCTGGAGAGGAAAAATTTCTCTACAGAGGAAGGAATACATGAAAAGGGGGGGACATC